AGTAGCTCTATGATCATCAGATATTTCTTCATAATAATCTACAAATGTTTTCAACCACTCATGTGGAGACTGACCAACAAAGGGTGGTGGTTGACCATGATTGCCACACATAATCATAGCAGTATTCTTTTGTAACAGCCAATCAAGAAATATTTGTAATACCTGCAGTAACACCATACATATCTTGTCCCAGTTAATAATATTAGGAATATATTTTACACCCATTTGTAATGGAGTCCATGCTTCTCCACACCATATAAAGAAACTAGATGTACACATTTTTACACCTAGTTTTATTTCCCCTGCGAGTTTGTGCATCGGTGTTAAAACAATCATATCTGAACTATTACTAAATAAGTTAATCGTGCACAATTTTTAGTGTAAAGCCAAAACCTTCATTTTTCAGCCTTAGTAGGAACCTTTAGTTTTCAAAAATAAGGTCTCCACAACCTTGTAGGGTTCAGCCTCTCTGCTGCTAGGTGATAAAGTAGCATACAAAATTGAGTGCTACACTGTTGGTAGTATAAAAATTGAAAGTGCTGTTTTATAGGGTACTATCTTAAGTAGTATAAAATTGAGAGTGCTACACTATACAATAGCTTAAGTGGTATAAAAATTGAGTGCTGTTCTATGGGATATTAGCTTAAGTGGTAAATATTGAGAGTGATGGACCACAGGATATTTTAATTATGCATCTTTATGGAGGCAGGGATACATGTCATTTCTTAATTAACTCCAGTATTATTGAGAGTGATGGACCACAGGATATTTTAATTATGCATCTTTATGGAGGCAGGGATACATGTCATTCCTTAATTAACTCCAGTATTATTGAGAGTGATGGACCACAGGATATTTTAATTGTGCATTTTTATGGAGGCAGGGATACATGTTATGTCATTCCTTAATTAACTCCAGTGGTTTAAAGTTGTGTGAGCTTATGTGATGACCTGTGTCTGTAATCAATTTATCATCTACCCTCCAGCTATTGTTGGTTATTGCTGCCATCCTAAACCACCTTCTGAATAGTTATAGAACTGTACTCATCCTAAGGTTTTATTGATCCTGTATGTAAACATTGCTACGTTGGCATTCACTGTACAGTTGCAACTACAGTGACCTCTTTGGAAATCTTGTTATTGCAACTCCTTCCAAACCACTAGATTCATATGAAATATTATACACATAATTATCCCATTGTTACTCATAAATGTAATTTATCTCCTGCAGAAAATCAATGCAAATACCAATCTCACCATAGCAAATTATCCCAAGTGTTAAATATACATTATATGAACTGGAGTCAATTTGGTTGAGATCAACATACATATCTATGGTGCCTCTGCCATTTGATATGATCACCATGATGCCAGCTTTGAAGTCATGTTACATAACTTGAACTGTGAAATGGACAAATAGTTTTCAGGAAGTACATCCTTATGCTGTACCTAATTGCCTTGTGTGTTCTTAGTAACATAAGAAAAACAATCAGTTTAATAATTTGTGAAGGTTTTATCCATTTAATGATTGATATAGTCTAGCAGTATATCCCAACAGATTACTGTCCAGTAGTGTGATGTTTTCTTTTTCACAACATTCCAGCTTACAGCCTTATGGTCTATTAGTTTTTTTCTTCATATGACAACATTGCAGTTTACAGCCTTACTGTCCAGTGGTGTGATGTTTCCTTTGTCACATCATTCTGGCTTATAGCCTGACTATCCAATAGTGTCATGTTTCCTTTGTCACATCATTCAGGCTTATAGCCTGACTATCCAATAGTGTCATGTTTTCTTTGTCACAACATTCTGGCTGTCATGTATCCATTGTCAGAACATTCTGGCTTACAGCCTTCTATCCAGTAGTGTGAGGTTTTCTTTGGCACAACATTCTGGTTTATAGACTAATACTGTCCAGTAGTGTCATGTTTCCTTGGTCACAACATTCTGGTTTGCTTATCACATCAGTACTTGAAATAAAATGCTGCAGCTACTCTTGTAATAGCATCATAAAAAATCTACAAAGTACATCTCATCCAGTAGAAAACCATTTCCATTATGAGACTTGTTTTTGATTTATACTGGTAATTATGGCCTACCGTATAATCCTTTACATATTTTTTAGATCAGTATTTTGGAGACCCTGACACGTGATGACCTAAAGAATTGGTTTGCCACTTACCTGGGGAATGTCCAAAAAAAGCTAAGTGTACAGGTATGACTTTCCATACACCTTCCCTCAGTATGAAATGTTTGCTAACACATTTTGATTCCTATTTTGAAATGTATGGGTCAGAAAAGGCCTTCTGTATAGACTAGGATATTAGTCAACATTTTCCATGCTGTCTACAACCCAGCCTTTACAGATAGATTATATGTTGCAGTCACCTATACAGAGAAAATTCAGTTACAAATTTGCTTGTTCTTTGAAAAAGTCATGATGGTTGATTTCCAGCAAGGTTTCAATTGGATTGGTCCCTTGTACTTTTGACTAAAGTTATGACAGGTTTGAGCATCTGTTGGCTCTGACCTTTTCCTAAAATAAAATGGTTGTGGATATTATATAATGTAAACAAAATAGCTGATGTGTGGCTGATTTCATAATTTGTGTGTAGTAATATTAAAAATCATATTACTCAAAATGATTTATTGACAAAAATTTCTCATCTTTAAATCTATTGATGCTGTTTGTTGAAACTGTTCTACTGATAGAACAATTTGAAAAAGGCATTCATCACTGGAAGAATTGATATAAGAATTAGTGTTTGGAATGGAAAAAGTCATCTTTTTGTAATATTTTGACTTACAGTATCTTGTTTAAATGTTGAAAGTACTGCATTTCAGCTATTTTGTTATTGCAACACGCCAGATGATTTATTTACAGCAATTTTCTTTTGTTTTTGCATCAACCACTTCCACCCCCAATCTGTAAAGTGAACATCGATGTTGATTTTTACAAAGGGACATGTCTAGAAAAGCTTGAAAACCTTAACATTTGTGACCTAAATTTTGATGTGAGCGACCATTCTAAATTCTTATCCCTACATGATATGTCATATTACCTACAAGTTTAAGAATGGATGTAATCCATCTTGTGTTTAACACATTCTTACAGATGAACAAACCCAGTGCATTAATACTTTTAGTGTGACTACTGGTATTAGTGAGTTTCATAATCTAAATAGATGATGACTGTTTGGATGCTGAAGCATCGAGATCATAATCTAGTTTTACTCAGTTCAGATACACTGTGCATTCTGCAACCAGGGAAAAAATATCAGATAAAGGTTTCAAAGATTTTGATGTGATTAACTTTGTAAATTATCTACAAGATGCTTCTTTACTGTCCTCTCTTCTAGTAATGTCTCGATTCTTAATAATTTTTAAAAAGTTCTGTTAAATGTTGTAGAATTCTCCAATAAAACATATCCACATAAAAAAGCATTACCTTATGAACAGAGAACTAAGGAAAGCTATCTATGCTAAACATTATGTTGTTTACAAATTATACTGGGTACAGACCATGCAAGGCCTGGAAAAATTATAGGAAGCAGATAAATTTGGTAAACAAATTGAAAAATAACCTCTGATAGCTTACATTTTAGAGAGATGAGCAGGGGAACTATATTTCGGAACTTCTGGTCATCTATTAAGCCATATTTTTCAAATGTTCAGTTGGTCAAGATAAGATCATTCTCTCTGAAGGTACAGATATTTTAAAAAATGACAAATATATTAAGTCCTCAATAATTCTTACATAAATGTAGTATTAGATATTGGTAGGGATATATCATTAATTCTTATGTAAATGTAGTATTAGATATTAGTAAGGATATATCAATAATTATGTAAATGTATTAGATATTGGTAAGGATATATCAATAATTATGTAAATGTATTAGATATTGGTAGGGATATATCAATAATTCTTATGTAAATGTAGTATTAGATATTGGTAAGGATATATCAATAATTCTTATGTAAATGTAGTATTAGATATTGGTAAGGATATATCAATAATTCTTATGTAAATGTATTAGATATTGGTAAGGATATATCAATAATTCTTATGTAAATGTAGTATTAGATATTGGTAAGGATATATCAATAATTCTTATGTAAATGTAGTATTAGATATCAGACTCTCTAACCCATCAGAGTGCCAAGGCTATTAAGGACGGTAGTAATTTTTAAAATATTCAAATAAATTCAAATCCTGAAAATATTAGACTGAAATTAAAATTCCAAGACAAGCTCTCATTAATTTTGTTATGTCTAGGGGTTTAAACTCGGTAACAAGAAAAAGTAAAACCCAACAATCATTTATGTTTCTAAAATACAAATTTCTTTCCCTAAAAGATCTACTCCATCAAAGTGAAAGATTTAAAAATAACTTTTGTATGAAGTCCTAGAATATTGTCCTTAATTTTACTGTCAGTTTCACATCAATCTAGAAACTATACAAAGGTATTCAGATTGAAGGTTCTAATGTGTTTATGTGATGATGTGCAAGCACCACTGAAAAATCACAATTCCAAATCCAAATCTTTTTACTGCATTGCAAACCTGCAGATATAAATTATCACTACATTCCTTGAAAGTTTCATGTAATCTAACAGAATTACTTAAATATTTATGTCCTTTTACATAATCCTCAAGGTACTGTATTTTAGATAAAATATTTTCCACCCTAAGTACAATGAACATATAAATAAATCAGTTTCCTCCTATGACTCTTACAAAATCTGCATATGAACTAAAGAAACCTAATGTGGTGCTTTAATTTTCTATATTGTCTCTTTGTGCACACCAAATCAAGTGATGTGATTATGATTTTTTATGTATCTTTTAAAAAAATTTCAGTCATACGATGTCTGTGGTGTGGCAGTTTATAGTGATGTCTAGCATTGGGGCATTGTGTTGAAGACATGTAGCATGATGTCTCACCCAGTCACATTATCCTGCTGAGCGTCAAGCGAGGCAGCTGTTAGTTCCATTTCTTGCATGTCTTACCAGGGATCGAACCCATGACCTCCCGCATCCAAGGCAGATGCTCTAACCACTAGGCCACCAGAGCGGTTCACACATTGCATATGAACTGAAGATATAGTGCAATAATATTCTTATATTGTCTCTTTGTGGACATCAAATCAACAAAATCTGAATTGATAAAAAGATTCTATTTAAATCCTTAAATTATGAAATAACCTAACAGTCAAGTTCTGATCAAGGTAATCAGAAACTAGGGTGTGCATGACATCTCTACAAAAGAAATGGGATGTTTACATGACCTTCATTCAAATTAATGTGTGACATACTTTACCTAGTTAGTTGTTGACTTGACCTGGTTAATCTGCCTTGATTTGTTAATGAGATTCTACACATATTGCACATTTATTTTTCTCATAACACAAGTCGGCCACAGAATTTAAAAAATTAAAATATAAATGTCATGAACAAGAAGTCTTAAATAAAACTCCATTGTATCTTGATACAGATATCCGTAACAATATATTTAGCATCTGCCTGCATTATACCTATCCAAATTAGGCAAATGTTGATGGTCCTTGAGTGGTTTTTTTACAGAGATTTTGTCATACTGAGAGCCACTATCTGCCTTTATGTGACATTTAGCATATTTTTTTCTGCTTCACATATTTTTACTTCTTTTCTAGGTGGTAGGAAGATCCAAACATACCTGTGACAAGAATTTTGAGGCTATTCCACAGAAAAGAAGCAAGCTGACACATGAACCAATTGTCCAATATAAAACTGACCCACTCCAGGCTTCTGCTGTACCAGTCACAGATAAACAAATATTTAAAGATAATTTGAATTGTTTCCCTTTAACAAAAATTGTATCCTAGCATATGTAGCATTTAAAATGGAATTAAATCGGACATTTCTATTACTGGGAGTAATATGGTTGAAAAAGTTCTTAAATAGTCATGTACAATGGTAGATAAATTTTCCATACATGGTGCTTTGAATCATCAGGTGCTATTTTACAATTTGTCTAGCCCTCAGATAATTGATTGCCAAACTTGGTCAGTGACAAATGATTGCCAGACTTGGTCAGTGACAAATGATTGCCAAACTTGATTAGCAACAAAGTAATTCCAAATTTAGTCAACAACAAATGATTGCCAAACTTGGCTGACAACAAATAATTGCCAAACTTGATTAACAGCAGTTGATTGCCAAATTAGGTCAACAACAATTGAATGCCAAATTAGGTCAACAACAATTGATTGCCAAACTTGGTCAACAACAAAGGATTGCCAATCTTGGTCAGCAACAAAGGATTACCACACTTAGTTCACAAGTGATTGGAGTAAATACACATTGAGGCCTCAGAATAGAAGCTTAAACATATACTCACAAGTTGTGTCCAACTGCAAACAGCACAGATTCTGATCTTCCATCACTAAATCTGTCAGCAGATCAGGGTCTGTGCTGTTTGTTCTACTAATTACTCCTAACTGCATAGACCCAGATCTGCCATTTCATTGTGTGATGTCAAATCTGGGTCATTGAGGTTTTTACAGTTGGACTCCACTTACAAGCATGTGGTTGTTTACTCTTGATGCAGTTGTTACATTGCACTGAAACCTACACCTGAATTTATCAGTTCATATAATGGATAGACAAACATTGTAAACAAAGATTAATTTCGATATTTTCCCATTTTCAGAAATGGCATTATTTGTTTAGTTTCTATAACTAATCACACAAATAATTTTAGATCTTTGCAGAAATGCTAACATAATTGTATCTCATCTTGACCTTAAAATAAAAAGAACCAAGGGATATTAAGAAGTTACTCCTTTATGATGAAAAACTTATGACAGGATATTGATTTGCCCATCAAATGTTTAATACAAGTTTGAAGTTTTCAAATGTAGAATTTAATACCATCTTCATAAAACAATATGTAAGTTTACACAAGTCCTTAAAGCACTAAACATAATGCTATCAAATATAGCCAGTCATATTCAGCAAGATTTTTCAGTATTCCTGCTAGAACCTGAAAAGATCACTACATAGGGGTATATCAAATGGTAAATGAATTGAAAAGTGGCACAGCACATGAGAAATTAATGTAAAAGGTAAATTCTTATGAAAGGGCACAAAATTTTTAATTTGTGTGAGCACACATGAGACATTATGTATCCAACTACAGCCATATATGATAACTGTTTTTAATTAATTTTGCAAAATTTGAGTATTGAAAACAGTTATGTTCATTTTTGATTGTTTGTGCCACTTATGATGTCTAGTTAGTCCAAAAGAAAAAGGTGCTGATCTGCTGAATCTGATAGTTTTGTCCATAAATACCACTGTCACTAGTTAACATTTTGAATATAGGAAGAGTTTCACACATAAAAATATAACCATAAACACTATGCCTTTGTGATTTATGGTCAAGTAGCTATTCCTGCCTAACCCTTGACATGTATTATTGATTGTGTCAAGTGTCAGGTTTCACACCACTGACCAGAAGTTTTCATTCCAATATTTCACTATAACAGTAATCAAATCTTTTGTTAAAGTGTGTACTTGTCCAGATGCTTGAGTGTGCTTATACATTTTTATAGACAAGTTTAAAAATGGACAAATATAACACAGACAAAGCTGTGCATTTATAACATTTCTGTTCTTTTGCATTGTGGTCAAAATAAAATATGTTTAAATATGAGAGAAATTTTAGCCTTCATGCGATTTTGATCAATAATAAACACTACTATCCCCATTTAGATCAGTAATGAATAGCACTGTCTCCATTTTCTAGAAGCTTTTATCAAAGAGAAAACAAATACAATAAGTATATGTATGTTGTGCCCATCTCCATCAAAGATATATTAAATATTACCATTATGGGGTGAAGTAATGTACCTGTGCAGTGTATCAGTACAAATCAAAATACACAGCTCCTGATGTGATACATTATTGATACACCTATCAACTTGATGATCTTTCATCTTTATAAGATCTGTCAGTGATAGGTAGTGCCCTTGTATGAGTGTATATATGTTGGTTGCATTTCCTGTAGGGAGATTACAGGCTGACATAGACTGGGTGTCTTACCCATGATAACAAATATACTTCCAAACAGACTATATTTTAGTTCAGCCTTTTAGGCCATTTCAAGCTACTCCATTTTCTCAAACGCAGGACTCGTCTTGGTCATCACACCCTTTATTCAGCAATGCAAAAATGCTTTAAAAGAATTTATATAAAAACAACAAAATTACACAAGGTTACACTTAAATGGTTTGGATTTGCCCCCTTGCCAATTCTGTGCCGATTTGATCTATCTCATTGGTGCTTTCAGTCACTAATCACGTCATGGAATTGTGTGTACTTAATATCAGTGAATAATATATAAAGAAATTGTAGTTGGGTTTCATTACTGCATACATGCTAATCCCAAATGCGGTATAAGCATTATTTTGGCAAATATGTGGCAAGAAATGATAATCTAAATATACAAAGTGTAATTTATATATTACCAATACTAATATTAGTACCCTTCTGTTTTGTTGAGGCCACAACATGGGAGTTATATAGTACATGACCTAATTAAACCAAGTGCTATTTTGCATTAGTCATATTCGTTTTTTATAAATTTTGAAATGGTATTGATTTGTCCCTTATGTGATTGGACATGTTTTGAAATTCGAAAAGACTCATCTGTTAAAAGACATTTAATTCACAAGTCAAACCGCAAAAACTCATTTTGCTTAATATCTGGCTTCATATCCAGTATAAACAAACTTTTCAGACAGACCCATGCTGTCAGTGTAGACTAATCTGTTTCAAGGTAGCCATTTTATAACTGGATAGACAAATTGAATTCATTTATATTCTGCCCTTTTAGTTCTGTAAGATCCTTCTTATTGGACAGATTTATGGATGACTATTTATAATCTCATACATTAGTTATGATGAAATTATTGAATATGTAAATAAAAGCTATTTTGTTTGCATCCATGCATAACACATATTTGCATTTATACTTAACAGTGTCTCGTGTACTACAATGCTCTAGTCATTATGGTTTTAGCTGATTTTGGATGAGAACTCAGGGGGTTTTCATGTCACCTGTATGCTGTTGTCAATGGTGATGGCTCAGAGGATAATATTGGTTTTCATGCAGTGAGGGACCAAAACTTTCAGACCAACAGTTCTTCGTGAAATAAGGAGACCATCTTTAGACAGACAGACTGTAAGGGGTGATCTATGCATGGTGACTCCTTGATTATTCAACATGGAACCAGAAAAAATCTGTGATTGTCAGGTGGATGCCACAAGTTATAAATGTTCTGTGTTTAAACCCTTTATGTTGATACCCATGTAACAAAATATTGTGTACTGCTATTGTCATGCTGGAAAAGATGTATTTACAAGTCCAGAAGTGTGATTCAGGACTGACGCATGGATGGTAAGCATCACATTTAACTCAGAAGTTTGTGAAGTTACTCAACCTTAATTACCTCTCATGCAGTTTTGCAAACTGCAATTCCAAAACTATGGAGCTCAATGGCACATTGATATCTTGCAACTTGACATAATCCTTAAAAAAAAATTTGTTGAAAGGCAATCATCTTTCCTGCCATATTCAAATCTACACATGATGTCCACTAAATGTAATTGTTGCCCTTCCTGACTTTTTTCCCCCAAGAATCCGAATATTCCCTTTTATTCTTATGTATTTTTAAACCTATCTAAGAAGCTTATTGTTCCTTTCATCCTAATATGTCACTTGCTGAATGCCAGCTTAATCATGCATTTTACATCACAAAATACACACAGTTGATGTTGCCAGAGGTACTGTGGTCAAGTTAGTCTGGTTTCTTGACCAATTGCACAGAATCTAATATCAAATCCCGATCCAAATCAAACACAGACAAGCCAGCTTCCAGATTTTACCCCAATCATATTTCCCTAATTTGTTATTTTATTCCTTAAGTATGTAGTTCCATAAGACTTCTGGCAAAATCTTAAGGGTTGGCAATTTTGCAAATCTGCTTGACAAAAGAGGTTTCTTTTTCATTGACAAATATTAGTGCCTGT